AGTGGAATTACAGGTTCAAAGGGTACATGTTTTTAAAATTTAGTAGGTCCTATCAAACTGTCTTTAAAAAGCTTTCACCCAAACTAAATATTCTTTACCATTTTACATTCCCTTGAATTGTATTTGAGAGCATCCTCCTGCTCCCCAGCGATTCCTTATTTAAACTGGATATTAACTCTCTCTTCAAGTTTTGCTACATAGGCAAGGAGGAGAGAATTGGGGTTTCATTGTTTTAGTTTGCATTTCTCTGATTTCAGTGAAACAGAGAATAGTTTTAGTGTTTATTGGCTATTTACTTATTTTTGTGTATTCTTGTTCTTATTTTGTAGGGATATTTGTACTTTGTTCATGGATTTTTAAAAAATTGATTAGCAGGGACTCCTTATATGTCCTAGGTGTTAATCCTATCTTTTTGTCTTCCTTTTTTCTTCTTCTTTCCTGGTGCTAGGGATCAAACCCAGGGCCTTCTGCATGCCAGGTAAGTGCTCTAACACTAAACTACATCCTATACCTATCAGACAATGTGCAAAACAGTGTTCCTTGTTTCTTTTTAAATTTTAACTCTGATTATGGTTGCTTCCAGCAAGTTAAAAGTGATACAATGATATCATCCACTTTATTAGGGATGCAATATTGCTCAGTAGTAGAGAGCTTGCCTAAGTTGGCCAAAAAAAGAAAAGACGTATACAAAGTACACATCCACTTTATTAATTTTTTATATTGCCATTATTTTGGTTAACAACATATCAGAAACTGAGAGAAAGTCTAAGAGGCTTTTAAATGCAAATTCTTCCATGTTGATATTTTCAGCAGATTTGAGAGGCAATTTCCTTCTCTAACTGGGTTTGAAGAGCAGAGAGGATTTGAAAGATGAGGGATTAAGGAGCAGCATGGCACAGTAATGCAGAGATCTTTTAGTTTCTCTTACTCTGTTTGCTGCTGTACAAAACAGCAGACAGAACCATGTGCACACATGAACAAAAGTGAAAGCTGATATCCAAATATACGATACTTTTGGATTGTCTGTTATCAAATAAGAATCATATTACATCTTATCTCTGCACAGGTTTTAAAAACAACTTTACTTTTAATGCTAGATTAAACTTTAAAATAAAAACTTGATCCCTAAAATTAAAATCCCAAGAAATACTAAATTAAAATTTGGTATCTTTATTTCTCTTTTCTCTTGCATTAGGTATTGGGGGAGTACCTATCTAACATGATTTAGTGCATTTGAGGAACAAGATTGCTGTAGGACAAAAGAAAAAATAACTGAATATCATTTATTCATTCAGAAAATAATTATTAAATGCCTGGCAATCATCTAGGGACATACAATGAGAAAGAAGATAGAAACCATCCCTGGTGGTGCATGCCTGTAATACCAGCACCTCCAAAGGCTGAGGCAGGAGGATCACAAGTTCATGGCCAGCCTCAGCAATTTATTGAGGCTCTAAGCGACTCAGTGAGACCCTGTCTGGAAATTAAAAAAAAAAAAAAAAAAGGGATTGGAGATGTGACTCAGTGGTTAAAGTGCCCCTGGGTTCAATCCCTGGGAGGAGGAGGAGGAGGAGGAGGAGGAGGAGGAGGAGGAGGAGGAAGAAGTTGTTGTTGTTTGAAGACCTTGAGTTTTATTCAGAATGATTATTAAAAACATTTAACAACTGGCAATGCCACCAACCAACCAAAATAGACAGAAGCTGGTCAACCATACCAAGAAGTATTGGCTGAACATTAGCCCTGATTATATCAATGTAGAAAAACTGTGCAAAACTAGGTCATTCTAAATAAGTCCCTTTATAAATTGTTGGAAACAAATGCAAAATTACTTTTAAAACACAAATAGAACAGAAAAATTCAACTAGGTTTTTAAATTTTGAAATGTTTTCATTTCTTAATTTTTAGTACATTTTTTGAAGGGGGCGGGTGGGGGGGTGGGGATGTACCAGGGATTGAGCTCAGGGGCACTAAACCACTAAGCCACATCTCCACCCTTATTTTGTATTTTATTTAGAAACAGGGTCTCACTGAGTTGCTTAGTGCCTCGAAGCTACTGAGGCTGACTTTGAACTCACAATCCTCCTAGCTCAGCCTCCTGAGCTGCCGGGATTACAGGCTTGTGCCATCACGCCTGGCTTTTTGGTACATTTTTAACGTAAAATTTTATTTATTTATTTTTGCTTATAGTTTTTTTTTATTTGTTCTTTTTAGTTATATATGAGAGGAGAGTATATTTTGACATATTTATACAAATACGGAGTACATCTTATTCTAATTAGGATCCCAGTCTTGTGGTTGTACATGATCTGAAGATTCACTATGGTGAAATTTTATTATTATTATTATTATTAAAAAAAATTTTAGCTGTAGGTGGACACAATACCTTTATTTTACTTATTTATTTTTATGCGGTGCTGAGGATCAAACCCAGCACGTTACACGTGCTAGGGGAGAGTTCTACCACTGAGCCACAACCCCAGCCCCAAATTTTATTATTTTGAGAATTTTTTTACTATTATTTTGTGATTATAAGGTATAGGCTGAGTGTGGTGGTACACTCCTGCAATTCCAGCTACTTGGGAGGCTGAGGCAGGAGGATTGCGAGTTCAAAGCCAGCCTGGGCTATTTAGCAAGCCCCTGTCTCAAAATGAACAGGGCCGGGGTGAAGCTTGGTGACAGAGTTCCCCTGGATTCAATCCCCAGTACTGAAAGAAAAAAAAATACCATAAGGTATAAAAGGCTATTCAATGAAACAAGTCATTTCCATCCTATTCCAGATACAAAAGTTTCCCTGGAGAAAATTGATATTACCCCTTTTCATGTGCATCCTTACAGAGGATTACATTATGTATACAATTTTTAAAATATATGATTTTTTAAAAAACTTAATAAATACCCCTACAATGGGGGTTTCCAGAACAATACAGAAAAGATCCAGAACTAGTACTTTCCATTAGTCTTTAGCCAAATGAACCTCAGAGTCTTGGTCTTTTAAAAATTTGAATATAAATCACGTTCCATAGAATCTAATCTCAGAGCATTTCATTCCCCAGAAAGAAACCCTGGGCCCATTACAGTCACTTTCCATGTCCTTCTTCCCCTATTCCTTGGAAACTGCTAATATCTCTTTCTGTCTCTGTATATTTGCCATTATGGACATTTCATATAAATGGAATCACACACCATATGTTGTCTCTGTTTGGCTTCTTTCACTCAGTAAAATGTTTACACAGTCCATCCATGTTGCAGCATGCATCAGTGCTTCATTCCTTTTTTTTTAACCCTTACTTTTTAGTTTTGCTAAAATATATCTAAGATTTACCCCTTTAACCATTTACAAGAGTACAGTCCAGTGAGATTAGATATGCTGTTGTGCAACCATCACCCTCTCCTGAACTTTTTCATCATCCTGAACTCTGTGCCCCTTAAACACCAACTCCCCATCCCCTGATGATCTCTACTCCACTTTTGTTCTTGTGACTGGCTTATTTCACTTAGCACAATGTCTTCAACGTTCATCCAGGTTGTGGTATGTGTCAGAATTTCCTTTTTTTTAATAGCTGAATAAATATTCCAGCATGTGCTCACACCACATTTCACCTATTCATTCATCTATTGATGGACATTTGGACCACTTACACTTTATGACTGTACTGAATGTTGCTGCTGTGGACATTTTTGTGTGAGTTTTTGTATGACCACATGTTTTCAATTCTCCTGGGTAGCAGAGAACATTTAGGAGGGACTGTAGAGGAATTTGACAAGTAACATACATTGCCCAGATATATAGATCCAGGGATGGACCATGACCATTGGGATTCTCAGTCTCCCCATTTGAGTAACAGATGAGAAAGTTCTTATTAGTGATGAAGGATATTTGTACTTTGGTAGGTAAAAGCACGAGGTTGTTAGAGTTCACTTGTGAAGTTGCAGTACAGGTGGAGGCTATAAAAGGATGTGGAGTGCTGAGTGAACTGTGCTGGTTACTAAGGACCATCCTCCTCTCAGGCCCAAACCCCAATGTCTATATTCTCCTTTGTGAGCACAGGAGGCTGGGGCTCTGCAGCCATATTTCTTCTTTGACAGCCAGCTGCCACTAAGTGCTGCCTGTGGGGAGGGACTAGGGGGCAACTAAGGAAGAAGAGACACACTCCTCTCCGTTTGCTTGCTGTTTCTGGGAGGATCATCTGGACTCTTTGCCCTGATGGTAGCAGCTGACTCCAGGGTCCAGGTGTTTTTTTAACCCTGAACACTGTCATGCTCCCTCACACAAGCAGAAGCAGCTGGCTGTGAAGTCAGCTACTCTATTCCTCAGAACTTTGGGCTGGAGGTCCTCCCTCTGAACCCTTGGGGTATCAGTGTGGCTGGTAGTACCCCAGCTCTATCACCATGGAAACTCAGCGCTCCCTTCTCAGGTTTTCCATTTTCTAATATTTCTTAAATCTATCCTTTCATTAAATTCTGTCTGTTAAAATAGCATGATTCCTGTCTCCTGACTGAACCCTAGCTGTGAATACAGAAAGCACCCGTCATGCTTCTCAGGAAATGAGCATGCACACTGCCTGCCGTATGAAGTCCAGGCTGAATTCTTGGGGCTCTGTGATAATGCCATAGACTGAGTATTTGTGTCCTTCAAATTTATATATTGACATCCTAAACTCCAGTGTGACAGGATTAGGAGGCAGGGGCCTTGGGGGTGATTAGGTCATGAGGGTGGAGCCCTCATGAGGGGGATTAGTGCTCTTATAAAAGAGACCCCGGAGAGCTCTCTCCCCTTTTTTGCCACAGCAGGACACAGCGAGATGGCTGGCCTTGGAGAAGATTCACCAGACACTGAATCTGCCAGCACCCTGACCTTGGACTTCAAGCCCCAGAACTAAGAAAAATCAACATCTGTTGTTTACAAGGCACTCAGTCTATGGTTTTTATTATAGCAGCCTGAACAGACTACAGACTACAGCAGATGATAATGCAGAAATAGCCATGTTTTAAATGCTTACCCATTTTCCAAGCAGAGCTTTTCTTTCTTCAAATACCTGCAATAGGTAAGAGAGAATTGGGTGACTTCATATATCATGGTTCAAAATATCCATTACAAGAACAGCATCATTGAAGGATCAGTAAATAAGTATTCACTACGTCAACTCAGTATGAAGAATCCGGTGTCATTCCCGGAAGGGTACTTTACTTATTTTTAACATAGGCAATGTATTTCTCCATGTGAAATACATAAAAAAGAATGATTGTTCTTTAAGAGAAATAAGAAAAAAATGGAATTATAAAGAGAAGTCAATTTTAATTTGTGAAAGGAGATAAACAAACTAACAAAGGGGGAAAAAAAAGGAAAAATGGTACTCTCCCTCCAAAACATATCAACACTAGTGGTGTGAGAATTTATAAAATTTATGAATGAGCAGCTTTGATTTTATATTTCAGTGTGTACACATATAAATGGGTGTCGCGGTACTTATTATGTTTGTAGGGTTAGTAATTTCTGGGTACCTCTGGGCTTGCGACTGCATATTCAGCTGTAGAGGTTTATTTTTACGCACTGTGTGGATAGAAACCATGCCTCCCTCCTTCATGTTGCCATGTCCAACGTGCAGGGCTGTCCATGGCGTGGTACAAGCAGCCATGTTTGTTGAACTGAATGCATGTGGTTGTGAGACTGGATATCCTTATGGATGTAGCAGTACAGTGGGACTGTATTTATATGTTGGTGTCTAGGTGTTTTTCTGAGCATCAGTGCATATGTGGATCTGAGCAAGTGAGGAGGGGAAGACTAACGTGGGTATGTTTGGCAGAGGAGGGGGTTTGAGAAGAGGAAGAGACAGTAATGAACATATGTGAATGTCTCTCTCCCTCCAACACATACACCCTCTGTCAGCTTTCAGAATCAGATGGATGTTTTCCCCTTCTCCTTGGCACTACCTAAATTCCAGCACTGCAAGAATGTCCCTGCTTGGAGAGGCGGCTCAGACCTATTTCTTCCCTTTTTATGGGGGAGGACGAGGAGCAGGTTTTACGGCTCCATAATGCTTTCCTTTCCTTTTTAGACTCTCAAACTCTGGTTGCCAGGAGCATATGAAACAGGAACTGAAATAACTGCTTCAACAACCGACTGGGGACCAGTGAAATGCTGCTTTTGCACCTGTCTGGGGTATCTCTACATCACGGGTAGACGCTTCACACATTTAGAAGAAGAAAAAGAAAATCCCTCCCCACAATAAACTGCCACCAGGACAAATAAGGGCAATAGACAAACTCAGAATTTCTAGACAAAAACAGAAGAGAAGCTATGGAACACAGGAGATTTTTAAAAATCTGGATTCCAGCACATCCTGAACTCTTCCAGATCGGTCACCTGTTGCCCAACCCAAGCCACCAGGGTGGCCAGCTTGCCAGCAAGCTCCCTCCCCAGGCCAGTGCATGCTGCACTGAGCTCCACAATTCTTGAACTTGCTCTCTGTGGGCTCTGATCCCAAGCCCACCAGAACCCCTTTCTCCTGCAGGCTCCACAGAGCCAGCCGGTGCAGGTTCCAGAGCAGATCCTAGACTAGCCAACTGAATAACCACAGAGAGCTTCAGAAGTCATAGCATTTCAGAGCTAAAAGAAATCCTAAAGCTCTCTTTGTTAGATTTCCTTATTTTAGAAAGGACAAGCTGAAGACCAAAGAGGTTATTTTCATAGATATTTTAAAAATTACTGGTTGTAAACTCTGTTCAATTCCCCTCTACACTTGGTCCCTCACTAGAATTTGGGTCTTCCCCATCCTGAATTCCAGCCCTAAATTCTCCATGAACTTGTGTCTGACAATGGGAAGAAGCCTAGGTTCTGAGCCACAACTGAGATTTGAAAAGGAGGTTGGGATGCACCCTCATGGTGTCCACCAATGTTGTGGCTCATAGGAAGCAGAGGACACTCACTGGGAGGGGCAGGATAGTCTATAAAAATGCAGCAGGGGGCTGGGGCTGGGGCTCAGTGGCAGAGCACTTGCCCAGCACATGTGAGGCACTGGGTTAGAACCTGAACACCACAAAAAATAAATAAACGACACAAAGGTATTGGGTCCATCTACAACTAACTTAAAAAGACAAGAAAGAGAAAAGAAAAAAAAATTTAAATGCAGCAGGAAGGGAATGAGGTGGGAGTAGAAGTGTTACTCTGACTGAAGCAAAGGCACTGTATGAGTAGGGTCAGGGCAAACCCAGTCATTCAGGCGTCTACACCCAAGTCGAAACTGGTGGGCATGAAGGGGTAGATGAGAAGCACCAGACTGGAAATCAAAAGACCTCAGATCAGGTTCTGACATGACCTTTGACAAGGAAGATGATTTGGAGCTAACCATTTCATTGTCAGGTCCTTGGTAGGGGCTGATGGTCTTACGGTCCCCAGTTTGGAGCGAATCCTCACTCCAAAGATTCGCAATCAGGTTCTTCATTTTGAAGAGCTGGAAGACAAAATGTCTATGCAAAATGGAAGTATTAAAACGGATCTTCCTTTCATGCAGAATGCTGCAGTCTGTTTATATCACAGTTTACCCAGAGCCTGCTGTTAAGTCAAAATCCCACGGTTGTTATTTTAGTCTGTTGACACTGCAATTACATATTTCACCATGTGACATCATTACAGCGTAGGAGGGAGATATTTCAGGGTTCCTAAATTATGGCTGATTGATGGCAACAAGGTGCCTTTTCTCACAAAACCGTTTTAACATGTAATGTACTACATGTATAAATCGTCTCTAAAAGAAATGTGGATTATGGGGATGGGATTGGGGCTCAGTGATAGAGTGCTTGCCTAGAATGTTTGAGGCACTGGATTTGATCCTCAGCACCGCATAAAAATAAATAAGTACAGGTTTAAAAAAATTTTTTTAATAAAAAAAAAGAAATGTGGATTAAAGAAAAGAAATGCAGACAAAGAAATAAATGTGGATCGCTTGTTTTTCTTTCTTTCAATGGTATATATTTAAGGTGTACATAGTGAAATGATTGCTACAGCCAATCAAATCAACCCATTTGTCAGCATGTTACTTTTTGTCAGTAGTAAGGATCATTTTTAATGATGACATTGTTTGGCAAAGAGGTCCATACTTTTAAAGCATTCCTCCACTTAAAGTTCTCATGCTTGCATTACTTTGTAATCTACTGCATTTTTGTTTTTTGAAGGCATCTAAATTTGAATTCAGTCTCTCTGCTTAAAGCCTGCTGTGAAGTTAAAATCCTGTGACTCTTATTTTAGTCAGAGATAGTTATGTACTTCACATTGTACCACAGAATAGAAGACAAGACTCGAACAAAAACGAACTTGGATCTCACGATTGCATTGATCTTTGGTGGCAATGTCCTGGTTTTGAAGTGTAGAAAACCCCTTGAAATTACTGTGTGGTTGCCTTTTGGCCACCGTGTCCTTGGACATCTATTTTTAATTCCTTTTACACAGTCGGAATGTTAGATATGAAAGGGACCTTGGAGGTCACCTGACCTAAACCATTCTTTTTACAAAGGAGACAGAGTTCAGAAATGGTAGTGACTTTCTCAAGGCCTGCAGGAAATTATTGGGACAGCTGATCTGGAGCACATTTTCAGTTCCTAAAGTCATTGTTCTTTGTTTTATTTGTATTCACTTTAAAATTAAAATTTGAAACATAGTGCACCATAAAAGTAAACAAATGAAATCTGGTCTCTTCTACAGACACCCCCCTCCAGCCACCAATACCCTTCTAACTTTTTTGGGGAATCATAGACATATACAATTCCTTTTTTTTTTTGTATAATCATATATAAATCTTTTTTTTTGGGGGGTACTGGGGATTGAACTAAGGGGCACCCAACCACTGAGCCATATCCCCAGCCTTATTTTGTATTTTATTTAGAGACAGGGTCTCAGTGGGTTGCTTAGCACCTCAGTTTTGCTGAGGTTGGCTTTGAACCCATGATCCTCCTGCCTCAGCCTCCCAAGCTGCTGGGATTACAGGCATGCTCATCATATACAAATTCTATATACGGTCTATGCACGTTGATGTGTGTGTGTGTGTGTGTGTGTGTGTTACACTCATGCAAAGTTATCTTTTGGGTTTTTTTTTTTTTTGTACTGGGGATTGAACCCAAGGACACTTTACCACTCAGCTATATCCCCAGAACTTTTTTTTTTTTTTTTTTTTTTTGAGACAAGGTCTTGCTAAGTTGGTGAGGGTCTTGTTAAGTTGATGAGGCTGGGTTCAAACTTGTAATCCTTCTGCCTCAGCCTCCAGAGTCTCTGAAATTTACAGGCATATGCCACTGCACTCAGCATGTGTAACAATTTTTAAAGGAAAAATTTTACTCAACACTAGAACCTAATTAAACCAAAATATAAGTTTTTGGAACAGGGTAGTTCTAAACAATAAAACAAATGTTTTCTCTAGAAATTATCAGTAAATGTGACAAAATCCATTAACAAAACAAGATAAGGCAATGTAAGACTTGCTGTGATGTAGTGACTCCACCCCACGACTGGAGGATTTATTCCTGCACCTGGGGGGGAGGCTGTTGATTGACAGCCATGAGCTTGAGAGAGCTGCCTTGCCGAGGTCAGGCCTTCTTGAGAGGAGGGAACAGCTAACATCCACTCAATGGTCAGTATGGAAGTGTGAAGGACTGACCCCCTTGCTGGATTGTAAGATCACTCTGGGTTTATGATTTGGATGTAAGGTTTCTCCCAAAAGCTCACACGTGAGACACTGCAAGAAGGTTCAGAGGAGAAACGATTGGGTTGTGAGAGTTTTAACCCAATTAGTGAATTAATCCCTCATGGGATTAAGTGAAGTGGTAGGGTGTGGCTGCAGAAGGTGGGAATTGGGGCATAGTTATGGGGTATATATTTGTATCTGGAGAGTGGAGTCTCTCTCTCTGCCTCCTGGTCACCATGATGTGAGCTGCTTTCCTCCACCACCCTTTCCCACCATGATATTCTGCCTCATCTAGAGCCTGGAGGAATGGAGCCAGCCTTCTATGGAATAAGACCTCTGAAACCGTGAGACCTCAAATAAACTATTCCTCCTCTTTAGTTGTTCTGGTCAGATCCTTTAGTCACAGCAGTGAAAAAGCTGACTAAAACACTGGGTGACCAGGTGGCTTCAGGGTATACCATGGGGTCATAGAGGCCTTGTGGAGGTACATTCCAGCCTACCTTCTTCCTTTGCCCCAAACCCCACATCTTTCTCTGCCTCCCTTCTCCTGCCCTGCAGGTGATCTTTAAATGTTCATCTCAGAATCTGCTTCCTGGGGTTGGGAGTATAGTTCAGTGGTAGAGCACTTCCCTAGCATTCTTTAGGCCCTGGATTCAATCCCTAGAGCCACCAGAAAAAACAACAACAAACCAAAAAACCATATCTCTAGTTACCCAACCTGTGAAAAGCACTCAGGTTTTTGTTTGTTTTGTTTTGTTGTAGATAGACACAATACCTTTATTTTATTTATTTATAAATCAAACCCAGTGCCTCATACATGCTAGGCAAGTGCTCTACCACTGAGCTATGTCCTCAGCCCCATTCAGGTGTTTTTTGGCTATTAAATCAATTTCTTTTCCATGGCAGCTACATTGATCAAGACTCTTGATTTTTCAAGAAAATTTTCTGGAAATCAGGGCATCCAACAAATTTGTATTTCAATTCAAGTCACTTTTTCACATGTGAGTAAAACCTTCACAATTCTATGGGAAAACAGATTTCAAAATTAAACACTGAAGTTTTTTGGGGAAAGCAGATAAGCTGTTATATAAACTGTCGGTGCACCAAGAGTGTTGCAAACAGGTGCTCAGTAAATAATTGTTACAGGGAAAGAAAAAGATTTTCAACATTCTTGTTTGGTGTTCATGGCTATAGATAAAAGCAGGATCAACCTTTCTATCTGCCTTTCCTTTTGGTTGTTTTGCACCCCCAAACCCCAATTTCCTTATCTTTTTCCTTTTTAGGCTCTCTTCATTTTATTTCTCACTATTCCCATTCCTGCCCAGCTCTTCTATCTCTTAGAAATCGCTCGTGTTTCAAGTCAGAGGAGCAGAGAATACTGAGAGGCGGCTTTGCTGGAGGGATTAGCACATCTGTCAGGGTTAGAGAAGTAAAGGGCTGACTCTGGGCTAAGGAAGACGATGACGGGATCAGAAGAGGAGAGTCAATGAAAGGGTACCAGGAGGGATCTGCGCTGGCTCTACCTACTGTGCTCCAGGATCATCCCAGGCACTGGAGACACAAGGGAGAACCTCAGCCTGATGCATTAGAGCTGAGGAGGAGTAGGATGGGTGGAGCCGGGAGGGTAGCTGAAGTTAGTCTATGAAGGGGCCTCAAGGATATGCATGGGGATTGGAAGTCACCCTTTTGAGTGGGGCCCATTTTCAGTTTCATGTAATAGGATTGGTATTCTAGGAAGATCATCCTGGGACCCCAACAGAAGATTGGTAGGTACGAACAGAGGTAGTAAAACCAGCTAGGGGATTACCCCTTGCAATATGGCAAGGGATCCCCGGGATCTGATCTGAGAATGTGGAGCTGGAGGTTCACAGGCGGATGGAGAAAAGGTGCCTGAATGAGAAGTCAAGGAGGAAGATTCACAGGACTTGAAGATGAACCGGATGTGGAGGCAAGATGGTAGACACTTCTCCATGGGCCTCTGCTGCTCTTGAATGTCTTGCCCATGCCAAGAATGCAAAGCCCTGAGCACCTGCAAATCCAGGTTGGATTGCAGGAAGGCAACCCTGAGGGATGAGCAGGCTTGCTTATGCGTACTATAACGCTCACCCACTGCATCACCCACTGCAACCGTGACATGCATCCGGGCCCTCTGCATCACCCCTGTGGGACGAGGTTGACCAAAAGAGCTAGGGGGAACATGCTGCTCATCCTGAGTGCTGTGCTGTGGGTAATGTTCTTTGTCTCTGGCCCAGGAATCTGTCTCTTTTACTGTGATATAGCAATGTCATCTGCTTCATAAGCAACAGGCTAATTTCTTAGCTTGTAAATTGGGGGAAAAACCAACTCCCAGACCCAACAGGGAGAAGGAAGATTTTTGATCTGAATAACATGATGTAAAGCGGTGTTCAGGAGGAGGAACTGGTGTGTAGGAACAAGACAATGAGGTCAGTTTTATACAGGTTGATTGTATTTTACTGCTAACTATTTGGTCATAATTTATTTATTTTTCATTTTTTATTAGTGCATTTTAATTATACAGAATAATGGGTTTCCTTGTGGCATATCATACAGCATGTAACGTACTTTGACCATATCCAACCCCCCATTACTCTCCTTTACCCCTCCCCTCCCCCATCCACTCTCATAATATTCTCCCTGCTATTTTCTTTTTTTAAAATTTGTTATTTTTAGATATACATAATAGTAGAGTATATTTTGATATATTATACATACATGGAGTATAATTTATTCTAATTAGGATCCCATTCTGTGGTTGTACATGATGTGGAGTTTCATGGTTGTGTATTCATATATGAACATAGGAAAGTTATGTCTGATTCGTTCTACTGTCTGATGTGGTCCTTATATATAGTGATTGCTATTAGGAGCTCACAGACCTACTGGTAACTTTCACTCCTCACCGAAGCAGGAATGGATACCCCCAGAGGCTGGCCAATCTCACACCCTAGCCACCAGCTGCAATGCTTGGTTTGGTGCATTTTACTAATTTCCCCAAAATGTATATGGGAAATATTCTTAGGAGAACTGGAATAGTATGAGCAATAGGTCAAAATTTATGCATTTGGTACATTTCATATGCAGCATTACCCAGTGACCTCAACTCTAGCAAGAAAACCTCTTTTGGGGAACTCTTTGAAGACCACCCTCTCCTCTTCTCCTCCAGTTCTGGTAGTTCTAGAGGAGAACCAGTGATGGAAGACAAAAGGCAACTGAGATGAGAGAGACCAGGAGCGACTTTGCAAGAAAGTACAAATCAAAGCCACTTTCTTCTTAAGCAAGGGACTCTGTGTCTATTGCCAGTTCAGCCCACATAGCAAAGCTTCAATAAATTTATAAAAAAAATTTTGAGGTTGAAGAGGGACTTTATTTTACTTGTTTATTTTTATGTGGTGCTTAAGGATTGAACCCAGTGCCTCACATGTGCTAGGCAAGTGTTCTACCACTGAGCTACAGCCCCAGCCCTCGATAAATTTTTTATAGTAAATCCTTTGTTTGTCTTTACTTCATCCATCACACAATACTAAATAATTCCTATTTATACAGATATATTATACATATATCTAATATATAACACATAAATAAATTTACATATATCCATTATACACATATACCTATAAATATATATTATATGTAATATGTATTATATATGTATTATATATATTAGTGCTGGGGTTGAACCCAGGGGTACTTTACCACTGGGCTACATCCCCAGTTCTTTGTATTTTTTATTTTGAGACAGGGTCTTGCTACATTGTTGAGGCTGACCTTGAACTTGTGATCCTCTTGCCTCAGCCTTCTGAGTACATGGGATTACAGGATTATAGGTGTGATTGGGCCTGGCCCCTGTTTATATTATGATAACCAAAATTTTACTACCAGTTTTTTCTTTAAGACATGGATCCAACTGATGAAGATACTCTGGCCACTCACCTGGTTATTCAAAACCTGGTGGTTGAGGGGTGTCCAGGTACTCATCTTTATCTGCATTTTAGGACATTCTATATTCTTCGGAGGTGCAAATGCCATCATGCAATAACTGAATATTCTTCCAAAAAGAAGACTATACCTGTTGGAATAAACAAAACACATAACCCTGACAATATTAAAAATACCAATGCCATGTAATTTTGGAATGATGGCAGAATAATGGATGGGAAGAGCACTCGCTGGGAGCATCTTAAACGTGAGGCACTTTACATGTATGCTCAGGGTAAGTTCATGAGTTAGTAAGGTGGTAGGTTTTAGCTCATTTCACAGGTGAAGTCACACACAGACAGGTGACTTCACAGGTGAAGTCAAGGTGACACAGACAGCAAGTGCTAGAGCCAGGTTTCATGCCCAGGCCAGTCTCAGTCTGCTTTCATTGGATCACAGAGTGGGGGCTGGGCATACAAAATCTCTCCTGGCTAAGAAAGAGAAATATTTAAATATAGAATCAGAGTGCAGAGCTGGGGTTGTGGCTCGGTGGTAGAGTGCTCATCTCACATGTGTTGGGCCCTGGTTTGATCCTCAGCACCATATAAAGATAAATAAAATAAAGGTATTGCGTCCATCTACAACTAAAAAAAAAAAAAAAAAGTACAATAGTAAACACTTCATTCTTGTCCCTGTGATAGTAACTCTCCTCCTCCTTCTTAACTGTCTGACATCCAAGTCACAAAACTTCCAGGCTGATGCATACATATTTTGGAAACAGATGGTGTAATGAGCAAAGTTGAGGCTTTGGAGATGGACAGACTTGAGTTTATTCAGGGAAATCTGTAGGTTTTAGTTGTCTAGTGTACATCTGCCTCCTTTTAAATAAAGCACTATGTATGTGTTTGTGTGTTTGTGTCCTCAGAGGAGTCCTTGGGTTCTTCTCAGCCCCTACTGGCTCATTATCTGAATCACTATATTTTTAGCTAAGTTACAAAAGGCATATGAAGTTACTCCATTACAGTATTATTAATCAGCAGCAAGCAATAAAAATACATGTGAGCAGGTAAATTACAAGTACAAAGCATGGCCACTGAGTCTAGGTCTGCCCAGCTAAAAATTACATATTTCTTTTTGTTATAGTTATTGATGTTCTACCTTTCTTCTTTTTATTTATTTTTATTTTATTTTTTATTGTAGTTGGACACAACACCTATTTTTTATTAATTTACTTTTATGTGGTGCTGAGGATCGAACCCAGGGCCTCACATGTGCTAGGCGAGCGCTCTACCGCTGAGACACAACTCTGGCCCTTTTCTTCTTTTTAAAGCAAGTATTTTGAGTTCTTCTTTGAGAGTCATAAAGGTCTTTGAGAATGAGAGCTATGAATCCTCTCCTTAGAAAAATGCCATGAACATAAAATTTTGCTTAGTCTAGGTTAAAAACTCCTGCTCTAAACTGAGAAACTCCCTCTATTCCCACTTTAGGTAGGAAGCAATCTGACTTATTCTGGACACCATTTCTAAATTAGGAAAAAAAAAAAAAAAAGCTACTTTTCTCAGTGATGCCCCAAGGGTCTGCACTGGTTGTTTTCTTTCTCCTGGCTCTGGGAAGCTGGAAATCACCTGGACCAAGCTTTCTTCAAAGCAGCTGGAGGTGAGTGTGTTTCTAGGAGGTGGGTCTGGCCAGGGGAAGAGTCCTTTCAATGACAACAGTCCTGCCTCATCTTTCATTATTATACTTTTCCAATTTTTCCCTTTCCCTTCCATTCCAGAACATGGACAATGTGCATACTTGCAGGCATGTACATTTCAGAGTACAGACTACTGGCTACTATTGAAAAGACAGAAGCCTATATATATAAATAACATCCACAAAAACAATTGTCCTGCTCTGTCAATAAGACAGAGGAAGTTGCCTCTCCTCCTTCCACAGATAAGTCTTGCTGTTGCTTTTCTTTGTGACCTCTTTTCCCCATAATGGGAATTTGTCTTTAATATTTCTTGGAATAAAAATGTAGAAAGAGGGCCTAGGGGCCTCATGGCCCACGCATGGGTCCAGTCCCATGTTTAACAGCCAGGGTGAGTCCACTTCCAATCTGATATCCATAGCCATTTTTCACACCATGGCCATTATTAACAGTTTCACTAGAGACTTAGGAGGTCTGTCCTAGGCTTACAAAGAGTTTCTGTCTTAATAGAGCTCATGATCTACTGTTAGAGATTTTTTAAAAATATGAGTGATGTCACTTATGAATTCAAAAACCTTTGTAGGCTCACCAACAAGGATATAATAGGAAAGTCTGGGTCCACTATGACTGTGCCTCAACTTACATTTTCAGCCTCATCCCTTCCTTCTTTCATGCACTCTGTCCAGACACACCAAATACCCAACCACCCTGAGAACACCGCAAAACCCTAGCCCTTCTTATGTGAATCTCTGAGAGCGCTCATCTGAATCCTAACCACAGACCTAGGAAATAGATGCTCAATAAATATTTGTTAAATCAATGGAAAGAATGAATACAACGGGAGGGGGGAAAGTGGTTTGAGGATTAAAATTAGTGGAAATAAATGTACAGTGAAACTTGGAACATTATGAACTGGGTTCTGGGGTAATACTTGGGATTCCCAGCTTTGTATTTGGAGTTCATGGAGCAGAATAGGATTGAGTTTCTCTGCTAACACCCAATTCATCCACTGTACACTGTAACATCATTAGGCAATCTCAAATATTATCAGGAGGTTGTCAGGTAATAGGGTATCCGAATTCACCTTATACTCATCTAGTTAAAAACAAAGCAAGCACTCTTAATACACTGCCAAGAGCTGGTGCTCGACCGGCACGTAATTATTAGTAGTTAATTTCACAAGTATGAAGCATCTGGCACTTGAATTGTAGCTGGAATGTGAGAAGAAAATGTAATCCCCAGGAGCACCGACAAGGCCTGTGGGAGACTCAAGAGCTCTCCAAGACAGGCTCCATCTTTCCCATGCACTGCCCGCTGCTCTCACCTCTTTCAGCTGGCTCCCTCTTCAAGCCTCTAGTGCTGGGGTTGCCATAGTTGCACTAGGTCAGCTTTTTCTTTGACTCCTTCCAGCCCCCACCCCTCCCTGCTTTCCTAGTCCAATCACCATCTATAAATTCTGTCGCTGGCATCCGGGGTCTCTTAGGCAACAATGTGTGGTCTCTTGATTGGCCGGGACATCCAGGAGGGCTGGCTCCAAAATTGGGCACCGAGATAAAATTAAAAAGTGTGGGCACCAAGCAGGTGGAGCTACGTCGACATCCTGATGCTACGCTCGGCTGGGAAGGTACGCAATTCGGAAACCAGGGGCATGGAAACCTTCATTCAAAACGTGCTGCTGTTGTGTTCCAGATCAGCCCTTACCCACTGAGCATGCCCAGTTATGTTATTCTGGTCACTCCGGAGTTCCGAAATGCGAACTCCACTTTGCCGGGTTTTTAGAGTGGCCAATAGGTAAAATAGGGTTGGAGGAAAACGAATTTGGGTCTGGTTCGGTGGAAGAATAGCACCTGCAGCAGGAAATGGGAAGACGTGGGGGAAATTGTCCAACATGCAAACCCACAAGTGCTCCCCCAGCAATTTATATTTATTGGATTATGAATTCAGGCTGAGTGACAGATACACCAGGGAACCAGCAGATGGCATGCCTTAATAACAATAACTCTAAATTTGGAAATCTTAACATCCGGTCTAATTTAATTATTTAAATTTGTTGACTATCTACCTTGTAACAAGGACTGGAGTGAGCATATATGGATAAAAAAAGAAATCTAATAAGGAAACTTGAAAAAGCAGTAAATAACTAATAGAAGACTCACAGTCCCAACATCTGTGAGCTGTAGAATACCATGAAGTACCATGAAGTTCAAAATTTTAGAATCAAGCTTCTTTGGCCTAGGCAAAACAGTTGTTATGGGCAGCATTAATCTCCCCTCCCTCAAGCCAAAGCAAACAAACAAAATAACAACTTTCCTGGCTATTTTTGTTTCCTAAAATAATGTACTCTTCTCCAACTCAAAGGAAGTTACAAACCTTATGTTTGTATTGTGTTTCATAGTTTTTAAATAGGTAACATTTGTGTGACTCCAATTTAAATAGCAGAAAAAGGTAAGTTGAGCTCATGGAGGTGGTTGCTTAATCCAAGTTAACAAAGGATCAGCAAGTGGCCAAACTGAAATTGGAACCCAGGTTGTCTGAATTCCAAGGTAGAGGTTTCCACATGAGCAGGTTGTATGTAAATGAATAAACAAAGCCTTTAGCGGGTGTGTGGGGGCTCCTGGGGGAGGTGTGCCTATGTAATACTAAATTACCATGCATTACCAATTAACATTTATGATTTCAAAACAGGTTCCTCCAGAAGGAGACCAGTTTTAACAATGTCAAGAGTGCAGAGCCTCTATGTGATGCTCCCACATGTTAATTAAAGACTTTCTATTACAACATGGAAGGAAATCGAGATGGGACATAGAATCTCACTTTATCCCTGTTGGATTTGAATATTTTTATCCCTGACAAAAGGTTCCTCTTGTCTCTCCTCTCAACAGAACCTTCTGGGCCTCCTTCTTCCTGCAGCTCATCTGTCTATTGTTCCCCCAAAGGAGAGTGAGTCACACCATTTCTACTGTGTTCATAGTGACACACAGAAAGCTCAATGTCTGTGGTTCTTCAACATTGCTTTTACACAGAAGAACTCAATCATTAAAAAAACAAAAACAAAAAACCTTAGACACTTTTTATTTTTTGCCATTATACATGTACTCTTTTTTTTTGTTTGTATTACAATTCTTAATACCTTAGAGACTTTTTCATAAGAAATAACTTATATCTCCATGGAGATTTTTTAAAATGTTAACTTTGGGTTTGTGTGTGTTTAACAAACAAGAAGTCCTTTGTGTATTTCCAGGTCTCATTCTCCTCTCTGCCTGCCTAGAGACAGTCATGAAATTCATTGTTATGAATGTGTAGCCTCCTTGTTTATTATTATGTATATGTTAGTCTTCATAAATGACATGTATTAACACTAGTTATTTTTTAAGGCATCATCATTTATATATCTTTTTTTAATATTTATTTTTTAGTTTTAGGT